ATGGTGCTTGCTTGCGGCTCAGTACAGTTTCGTGGATCTGCACGCCACCTCTCCATGTACCAAGTGGAGGTGAATCTACCGTGCCACCGTTGACGCCAACATTCGATGCCACTTTGTGTCTGGATGACAGGCCAGGCGCAATGCGCACATCCACGCGAAAAGCACAAATCAAGCCAAGCACATTACCACACGTCCACCTACCACGTAGTGCGTAAGCAATGGATGAGTGTTTGAACAAGGTGTCGTTGTGGTGCTCAGGAGTTTCAAACAAGCCTGTTTGAGTTGAAAGTGTGGTGTCATCTGCGAAGCCCTTTTTCATAGCTGCGAAGGTGGCACATTGTGTTTGCCGTGTCAATTACAAGGATTCAGGTGAACTAGGTGAATGAGAGGAAGGAGTAATCGAGTGAACGTTAGTGCAAATGATCGAGACGTGCCCAAGCACACCAGTGTGGTACCTGGCCATCTCAATTCCACCCCACTTCCGACCTATGCAAACACGACGATGGCGATGCTTCTCGGTAGATTATAATATTCTCCCCACAAAAATCAACCAATCACTTACTACCGCTATGCAAACACTAAATGACAAAGTGTGTGTTCGGGGCAACAGCGTAGTGCAGGTGATGCTGAGACTGCTACTGCGGCTGCTGCTGTTGAATTACTCGGTACAAACAACCGCGCATCACATTTACTGACATTGCCGATTATGTTGGCGTTTGCATCAGAAAATTAAACAATCATAATCACATTTTGAGCCCGCTGTGATAATGAGGCACTACAAACGATGCGTGTACTTGAGCCGATATCCGCACGTCATCGTCTAGTGATGAATGGGCGCACGCCACTCACGAGTACCCCCACTGGTGCTTGAGTGGCCTCTTCACTCAACACACCACATCGCATATAAAAGCAACTGGTTCGCGACACTCGCATCATCGTCACCTTTATCACCACCTCGACGACAATGCCAACTTCATCGCTGCTGAGACTCCTCTGCTGTCTGGCGATATTGCAGGCCTCGTGTCATGGTGAGTTCCCTCAAACTCTCCTCTTCGTAGTGCATCCCTGAATGTGCGCACATCACTTGCACGCACCGGCTGCGTGCTGACAGTCGGCTGGTGTGGTGGGTGTAATGCAAGCATGCCAGTGTCCCACATTCCGCAAGATTCACCAAACACGCCTTCTTCGTCACTTCACGCAGCCTTCAGAGCAAACGTGTGTTGTGTGGAGCGTTAGGAGTGAGACGAACCAGTTCCGTGCAACGCCCAGCACCGCAATTCAACTGCCAGTGTCATCTTAGGTGGTGTGGCGAACACCGTCGCATCTACACTGCACACACACACTCACACCCACATGCGCACACATCAGACACTGGACGTGTGGAAACTGGACGCTCAGACAATCTGTCGGAAATGCTGGCATCACGCGCGCGTGCACCAAACAGAGTCACTGATACTTAGGCGTGTGGTGTTTAGGACGATGCGCTGCTCACGACGACGACGACGACGACGATGATGTTGACGATGATGATGTTGTTTTCTTCTTCTTCTTCTTTAGCAAAGGAGCTTTTGGATGTGAAGGCGCTGGCCCTCAATCCGTGGCAGACACTCGTGAAGGTGTGCAGTGACAGTTACCATGCTCAGGTGAAATTCGACGGCACGTTGAACGGCACATTGCATGCCATATACCACGTCACTCTATTCCTCTTCAGCGGCCTACAACCCAACACCAACTACACCAGCAAAGTTAGCGTTGAGGGGGGACAAAATCAATTGGAATTCAGCGTCGCCACACGCAAAGGTAGCATTTTCACTGCCAAGTGACTGGCACACGCACAGCACTTGTCCCTTCCTTGCACGCGTCACGGTCTTGCCTCTTACCCAGCTTCACATCCTACTCCACCTCCTACTTCCCTCCATCTCACCTCACCTCACTCTGCCCCTCCCCACCTCTTCCCACCCTACACTTCCCCTCCCTTCCACCTTCCACATTTGTGCCCTATAAGATCACTTTAAAGCCAGAGTCGACACATGCTGCTGGTTCACACCACTCGTGTGAGGCCACGGTGCACTTGGCAGGCACTGGCACCAGTCACGCTCAAGGCAGGTGACGCGCGTCACTGCGAGAGAGCAGCTGCGGTTATTTGCGTGTGTTTAAATACACGAGGCTGGTGTGATTGTGCCATGTCATGCATGCGCGTTTTCCGTCTATTTCAGAATTCACGTATCCCGTGAAGCTCAGTTGTCCTCTGCCCCCGCCCGCATTCCCCATCTGCGAAGCCTTCACAGAGTCCGTAGTGTGGTGTGGCTGGATTAAGCCGATTACTAACCGGACAGTCTACGTGCACTTCGAGATCATCTCAGCCAATGGCGATTACCTCAGTACCAACCGACCCAATCACACCTCACCGAATGATCCTGTCGACATACACTTCCTGGAAAATTTGCCCAAGGGCAAGATATTCCAGATCGACTTGCAACAGTTCTACGAGGGTGGCGAGTGCAAATCGAGGAGGGCATCTACGAACGCCAAAACGCTACACATGGGTGAGTTTGGGCATGACATGTGTCAACCACGCAGAAGTGTGCACTGTGCGCATTCACGGCACTGCCATACAGAGCCACGCACACAGAGGCACTTGATGGTGTGTGTTGCCCTAGACACGCGTGGTGTGAGGGTGCGCCATCAAAGCCGTCTTGCGCTATCCACCGAGATTTTGGTGGTGGTGGTGGTGGTGATGGTGGTTGTAGTGTGGAAATCACGGATGATGATGTTATGGCAGGAGACGGGCATCACGATGTGTGACTGCAGGCGGCTGTGCAGTGCCACCTGGTGCAGGCGTGTTAGGTGGAAGTGAGCAAGCCCTCATCCGATCACGAGGCTGCTAGACAAACAGAGACAAGCCCATTCCACGCCCCATCTCCACCTACCACACCATAACCACCACCACCACCACCACCAATTACGGCCACGCCTTGCATGTGTGAGCAATGTCTGTCGCACTCACGTTTGGTAGAAGCCACTCGTCATGCCTCGTGTCGCCTTGCTCACTTGCACTGATGTCGTGTAAGAATAAATGTGTCGCGCGTTGCCACGAACCCCAGGCCACTTCCACTTCACACACGCCTCTGCAACTATGCTCATGCGCTGTTCGTGGTTCACGTGGACATTCGATGCCGCCGGCAACGCCGACGCAGCTGCCAAACCATCTGCTGCGCGCCAATTTCCGTGCGAGTAGTCCTGACCCATCACACAGCCCAAGCCATTTGTGCTCCATTCTACCGAAGTCATTCAAAGCACCCCAAATTACGTCGTTGGAAGTAGGTCGAGATATGCTGCAGCCACTTCATCAGAAATCGCACATGAGGCATTCGTAAGTGCAACATTGACATATCCCACACCTAACCACTCCACTTCTGTCACCCACAAACACACCTGCTGATGAGATGTCGAGGCTAGCGATTTGTGTGTGTGGATGTGTGTGTGCGTGCGTGCGTGTAGATAGTGTCCAGTGTGCAGTGCTGTTGCTGGTGGTTTTGCTAAGGCTGCCTCAGCATCATGTCCGGTTGGCTAGCATTTACGATGTGTGTTACCTCCGATGTCCTGCAGACAACGAAATGCTGTACTGTAAGGACCCACTGAAAGTCCCGGGCCGTTTCACGACCACCACCGAGGAATCCACCACTGAGGAATCCACCACTGTGGAATACACCACTCAAACCACCACTGAAATCACCAATGCAGTCATAACGGACGAACCGCCAAGCACAACGTCCACAGCCGTGGTGCCAGCATCTCCCTCACTTATGCTCGCCATCCCCCCACCTCTGCTTCTCGTCACTCTCCGTCAACACTGACACCGCCCGACTCCTCTTCTCTTCTCTCACCTCTCCACTCGTGTAGGCCTCATCACGGCCACCCCACTCGCCCTGACTTCAGCCCTCTTTAGTTAACAACTAGGATCCATATCGACTCGAATAAATGTTGGGCATGAAATAAGTTGATTGTGAAGTGTACTGTGTTGACAAAGGTAGATAGAATTGGTGTTAGTAAAGTCGATATTCCTTAAGCCTGCCCTCCCATGTTTTTACAGGACACAAGTCTACTTCGTACCTACCTGTTTTGCACATGATTCTCGCATATTCAGTGTTGGTTCACTCAGGGTAAGTATGTCGCAGCTGACTTTGTGGTGCATTCACTCAACGGCAAACGGCGGCATCCACGCTGCCCCAATTTGGCATTGAATATGTTAACCAAACTCAACCAATGTGATAGCGTGCACTTCTGGCCACGATGTGCGTGAAAGGTCACGAATACATGGAAATGGGTTATGGTACAAGCCGAGCTGGCAGGTGTGCTTAGCTAATGAGATATTGCAGTTTCGTGACGCGGAGGAATTCAGCTATCGCTTCTGCGTTGATTGTAGGTGTAGCATCTGACAGAACATTCCTTGTAACCGTTTGTTCAACAATACTGACTTGTAAAATCACTGTCAATTTTGCCGATTAGCAGATATCACGTGGGGTACTTCTCTTGTTCGTTTATGTGTAACTTATGATGTTAAGCGTGTGACATTTTGATATAGTGAAATGCGTTTTCCATCCTCCCCACAACCTCCTTGTTGAAACGCTTTGCACAGGTGTGGCCAGAATCGGAAGCACACGCCTAGCCGAACACAGTCTCTCTTAAAGTCAATGCCTCGACCTACGGCGTTTAGGTTGGCTGGACTTGATACGCAGATGCGACACTCAGAGCAGCCTAATAGGCCAGCCATCTAACCAATCGTTAACAAGGAGGTACATTTCTCACTTTTCATTGGACAGAGAAGTGTTTTATTATCGGAACCGGGCATTTGATTTTCACACTTTCACTAGGTCAACTAGTGTGCAGTATGCTTTTTAGAGCTTGACAGTTATAGTTTATTAAGGCCGTGAAAAATTCACACCAAGGTTGTACAAAATGGTGACAAAATCATGTGACACGTTCACCTGACTAAGCTAGTCATTTGTCTGCATGCGTCTAATTTAATGAAAAGTAACCCCGATATGAAAAATTGCGCTTTTTCTTGGGTAAGTTTTATGAGTCGCATTATTTGGAACCTTCATTTTTCGACTGACAAAGTGGATTTAGTCGATCTCTATGTAGCAACGCCAATCTGAACGCCGACCTTTGGTTTTAGCGCGTTGATAATGAATGCATCTAGGAGTTCAAGCATCATCGTCCATGGATTACTACTGAATACGTTGTTTTGAGTCTAAATGTTGACAGTTCGATTGAAAAGCAGCCGAAAATGGCAACCTGCGTTCCGGCGACTCCATCGGAGCGCAGCAAACAGAATGGGGATTGTTTTTGCTTCCTAAAACACGAAATTATTCTTTTGAAGGAAACACATGCCGCTGCACGTCAGATGTGAGTCCATGACCGTGTGTTACTTCGAACTACACAACTCACGTTCACCACTGCCGCTTAAGCAGTAATCAGACTGCTCACTGTGTCCGCACACTCACAACTACGCAAATCTTGTCAAATCCATCCTTGTGGTAAGAGGTTTTAATAAAAGTCTCTAATCTACGTCTCAAATGGTGCTCTGCCTGTACTTCTCTAGTGTAGATCAACTAACCGTAGGCACCTGGTGTGTTTCACGTGAAACGTTGTCCACTCTACGGAATCAAATATGGCGCTTCTATCCAATGCCAACGCACATTTCCTCTAGGTGTTCGTGTTTCAAGTCGCATACATCGATTCCTGACCACGCTGAAGCTCCAAACGGTTCTGTCATTCTGCCTTTATTGAGTTGCGGCCACCATCAGCTACCGAGTGCGTCTGCAATTTGAAATCTGTCGAAATCTTGTGCTGCCCACAACCTCGACGAGCCGTTAAATAAACTGCCTGGTCCTCATTACTTAAAGCCGCGAGACGTGAATGCGTAGCATTGACAGAAGGGACTCGGTAGATCGAGCTATAAGGAAACTGTGCACGGCACACGAAGGCTTGTTAAATACAAGTTGTAATGCAAATGTTAAAATGGCAAACTGTGCAGGCTGTTCAAGTACCCATGGCTTCCCCACAGAACGTTAAATGGTCTACAAACGATGTGTCACGATTGGTTGTCGTGTCGACTTCTGTGCGTTACCATTACTCGGCGCACACGGCATTACACTGTCAGACTGTAGCGGCCGAGTTTAGCACTACCGTTCAACCCCATAGTTAACAGCCGCTAGCAACCCGAAGAGAGGGAAGCCAAAAGGGTCGACAGAGAACACCACGACTGTTTACTAGCCTCACGCCAGTCAAGTCAAGTCGTGTAAATATTTCTCTTGTGTGTATGTGTGTACAGACTAACAAGTGCGTTTGCATGGCCTCGCCAAGTCAAGTATCGATCTCTGAATGCACGCAGTGGCGTGAAGAGCATTCACGAAAAAGTCGATTGAATCGTGTTCGTGCAAGACTGCTGACTGTGCCGGTGAATGAGAGGAAAGCGTGAATGTAAGTGGTCATCCGTGTTGTACCTGACCATTTCATTTCCATCCCACTTCCAAACCATTAAAAACGACGATGGCGATGCTTCATTATATTTGATAATCCCCCACCCTCGAAAATCAACTAATCACTTACTACCTCTATGCGAACACTAAATGACAAATTGTGTGTTCGGAATAAAAGCGTAGTGTAGGGGATGCTGAGACTGCTACTGCGGCTGCCGCTCCGGCAACAGCTGCGGCGTCTGCTGAATTTCTCGGTGCAAACAAGTGCATACCAGCATTCACTGACATTGCTAATCATGTTGGCGGTTGCATTAGAAAATTAAAACAAACATATTTACATTTTGAGACCACTGTGATAATGAGGCACTACATACGATGCCTGTACTTGAGACGATATCCGCACGTCGTCGAAAACGCATCTCTCTGGTGATGAATGGTCGCACGCCGCTCACGAGTACCCCCACTGGTGCTTGAGTGGCCTCTTCACTCAACACATCTCATCGTAATTTAATGCAGGATTTTGTAATGTTATTGGCCTTTTGGTGAGCGATCATGGAGTTTGTGATTTGAGCAAATCCAATCTACATACTGGCAGGTTAGCATGAATAAGCATGGTGTTTGCCAATCAGCAATTGTGTTTAGGCTGATGGGAAATAAATTTCGCTTTAAAGCAGTGACAATTCTTGCCGCGTTTTTGTCCAGAAATTGTAACATTTGTGCAGCGTACATGAAAGACCACTTTGAAATCCATTCTGGCTGATGACTTGCGACTGCCATCTCCAGTCGATATCGGTCGATATGTACGCGTGCAGTATCGATCTATGAACGCGCGTAGTTGCGTGAAGGGCACTCGCGAAAAAATCGATTGAATTGTGTTCGCTCACGAGTGTGAAAATATTGTATCTGCCTAACCACGTGGCAGACCGTTGTCTATCGTAGCATCTCTGGATGGGGTTCACACTTAGAGGCGTCCAGCCTTAATCCCTCAGACAGTGGCGTCGCGCCATTGGCCGATCGACAAGGCGCATGAACCAAATGACTGAAAATGGGCTTCCCACCATACCAAACATGATTACATTGCAACGAGCAGATTTTCCCATAAGCAGGGTAACAGTTAACCCGTCTCACGTCGGTCTAAATTCAGTACACTGTGGAGGATCTCGGGTTAGGTTATCGCCATTGTCTACACGATTGCACTAACAAAGCCACGTCAGTGTGTGCGTCAACCACGGCACCCCACTGACAGACCCATCTATTGCCTTGTTCCATCAGGTCAAGATCATCTTTTGCTCGTGTAATTGGGCACATTCGGACAGATCACCCGACCATTGGCTGTGGCAGTAAAAGATCTCTGAGCGAGGTCTTGCACCAAAGTGGGAAGGTGGGGGCCGGCGTCTGACAAGGCGTCAGCCGGGATACGAGCTATCTGATTGTGTGGTCTTGGTGACGGGGAAAAGGTAACACTCACGTTTACTAACGCTCCGTGAATTCTGCTTCAGAATGATAGTGTGGTGTGGCGTCGGATTAGGGCGCAGACATGTTGGACCACCTGGCCTCAGCCAATCCCGTGTCTCTCTGCGATCCAATGGCATGCGAGAAAGGAAGGCAGCCAACCAGAGAAGGACATGACTGAGGAGCAGTATATAATGAGCGGCATGACCAACGTGATGGACTCGGATGGAGGGCACCTGACGTGTGTTTCTGGCTTGTGATTGGTCAATAAAGCCTGTTCTGCTGTACCAGTCTTATTCATACTTGGTTTCGGGTATTCTGCAATAGGAAGAGCCGAAAATGAAGGATCAAGGACGATGTCGCTGCGGACGCTTGGTTACCACAAGCCAGTTGTCTCCTTGGTAACCTTTGTGACACCTGTTGCTTCAAATTCTCAAATATCGGACCATCAAAAAGGTCTAGAGGAAGCGATTTTACGGTCTGGGTTCGTGGAACACTCGTGAGTACCGGCTAGCAAAGTGAAAGAATAAGATATTAACATCGATCAAACTCTATCCACTTTGTTTTTAGACGTTACCACTGGCAACAGCTCTCAAAAATAATTATGTCATTTTGGCAAAACGCTTAGAAATTTGACAAAAAGGGAGATAGTGGAAGGAGGAGGGACCAGAGGTTGATGGGTGGACTAATTTTTGCTTAGATCCAAGGAAGGCACTGTGCTGTCATACACAAAGTTAACTTTGAGAGGGTTTTATCATAGGGCAGAAGTCTATTTGGTACCTACCTGATTTGCACATGATTCTTGCACATTCAGTGTTGGTTCACTGAGTGCAAGTATGCCGCAGTTGACTTTGTGGTGCGTTCATGCAACGGCTAACATGCGGATCGAAGCTGCCACAATTGTCATTGAATTTTTAATATGAAATGAATTGTACCTCGCAATTTGCCATTGAATATGTTAACCAAACTAAACCGATGCGATGGCCTGCCCCTCTGGCCACGATGTGCGTGAAATGTCACGATTAAACAAGGAAATTGGTTATGGTGCAAGCCGGGCTGGCAGATGTGTTTAGCTAATGAGATATTGCAGTTTCGTGACACGAGGGAATTCAGCTATCGCTTCTGCGTTGAGTGTAGGTGTAGCATCTGACAGGACCTTCTCTGTAACTCGTTGTTTAGCAGATTAGCAGATTGCATGTGTGTGATTTATAAATTTGTGTCAAAAAGCTTTTTTTTTCTCAAAAATGTCTAAAGCTACTTTTTTTGCCATGATGTCAAGTTATTTCAATCCTTTTTATCACCACCTCTGTCAATTATACGCGGATTTTTGGTCTTGACGTCTTATCCATGACGCTTTACTGCCAATTTTAAAATGTCTTACATTTCATTTTTTGAAATAATATTGTTTTGGAAAATAGTTAGAAAAGTGAATATGCCTTCACTAAATTTTGCCGTTTATGAATGAACTGATATCTGCTATCAACTACGGAATTGTTAAATGCGCACGCAACCATCTTGTTTAGAATGTAATTGTTTAGGCCTTATTAAATTGATTATGCTTGGGTTTTCAAGCAGCTCTGTTTGTTAATTACATTCCATTTGACGATTTAATAATAATACAGTCATATTTTGAATCACCACAACATTGATAATCTTGTTCATATTCTAAGCCTTAAAAAGCCAATATATTTTTCGTTTGGCTTATGTGATACGCACCCTTGGCGAATCTACTTACTGCGAATACAAAGTCAATTGAGTGAAATTATTGCGACCCTCATTCATAAATGATTTTGATATTGTTGATGCTAAGTATACACAACTTTTGTCTTATTTACATTATTAAAATTAAAATCATGTGCATACTTATGAAAGGGGTCGACGACCACTGTCATAATATAGGATGCACGGTTTGGGACAAAATTTGGACGCATATAGTTCACAGGGGTGTTTTATTGACGGTCATGAATATGTTTACGCGATAAAAATCTGAAACAGTGTAAGCTGCCAATCGCAATTTGTTTTATACCTTAATTCAATTCTAGTTTAAGAAATATATGTAAAATAATTTTTTCAAACCTGTTAATTTGCCGTTTTCGCATTCTAACATTCTGATCTATAATTACCAGCCGTCAATATACTTAGAGATAGGTTTTATGAATACAACTGATGCAATCGCGAATTTTTTTTCTAACTTTTTCATTTTACACACATTCCTGTGGCTTAATGACTGCCAGTTTACAGCATCATCCATCTCATTCAAAGCTTGCATTTTATTGGTCAACACGTCCTTGTAGCCCTAATTATTGTACATTTTTAAAAAATGCACAGTAGCGTAGTTATTGACAACGTTAAGTAAAACAAAATGTAATAAAAAAATTAAAATTTGGAGTGGTAAACATTTGACGAGCTCAAAAAACACCTTAATTATCTTTTTGTTTGCATATATTTACATTGGAAGGAAACTAAATTTATCACTTATTATTCTGAATTAAACATTTTAATGTTTGAGTGTGAAATAGGATTAGCCAATTACCATTGGACATTTAAGCTACGTTTTCCTAATCGCACTAATGCTATTGGACAATGGTTTTCCGTGTGACAGATACTTCTCGCGTTATCACTCTTCTTTCCAGCGATAGCAAATTAAAGCGCAGGGATTCTCTTGTTGCAATTGAACTGGACTTCGAAGAAAACCTCGAGAATGCAACTGTCGACGATGTGAAAGACTACTGTTCCCGGATAATTCCACACCTCGTTAATTCCATCACCGACCCTGTCGAAAGCCACCGAGAAAAATCTCTTCGTATTCTTTCAAAGCTATGTGAACGTGTTGATGCTTCTGACTGTTTTCTTCCTTATGTAACTCAAGTCTTTGTAAAAAGTCTTGCCTCGAAAGAATCACTCGAAATATCCGAAGAAATTAGATTGTGTTCCTTGAAACTTTTACATCAGATCTTATTGAAACTCCGCAATGGGGCCTGTTATGTCGCCGATTTCTGTCTTATACTGCAATATGCCCTGGAGGATAACTTTCATGAAGTTAAAATTGTCTGTTGTGACCTTCTTCGAGTGTTAGCTACTAAGTTTTCTTCGTCATTCTATCACTCGGCAGAGCCGGTTTTAAAACCGCTTTTAAAAAATGTTGTTCACCAGCAACACAGAGTGCGGGTTGCTACTGTTGAAGCAGCCGGCGTGGTTTTTAAACATTGTAATGGGAAGTTTGTCGACTACACGATTGCCCCACTGACACAGCGCCTTTTTGATCCGTCTCCAGCCGTTCGTCAAGCTGTTGTTAAAGTTGTGGGAGATTGGCTATTGAACCTAATCGATCGATATTCTTACCACGCCAAACTAATTCCCCTGATTCTAAGTGGAAAAATGGATGAATCGGAAGACATCCGTGTGGACGCCGATTCTCTCTGGCACGACATCGGTAGGCGGAAGTCCATAATTACCATATTAATGCAAAAATTTAGGTCTGAAGTTTCAGAAAGAAAATGAAAATGACCTAAAGGACAAAATAGATTTTGATCTCGGTAAACCTGAGCATTATCCTCCGAATCAAACGCGTCCTAACTTAGGTAAGAGCTTATTTTTTTTCGTGTTTAATTAATTTATTGAAGTTGCCAGTATCGGCATTCATCGAAGTCATTCATGTCATTAGGAATATCCGGTTTTGCTAATGGTTACTTATTTGTGTCCTGTATTGTGTCATAAGTTGTTTTGTTGATTTGTCCAGCGCAGACTTAATGCTTTTTAACTGTCTAGAGACAAATAAGCTTTTCCAATGTCTACGTGATTGAAAATAATCGGGATTCGTAGGTTTCTATTCCAATAAGACACTGGCCATATTTCTTTAGACTGTCGAAAAAATTCAATGTTGGGCATTGCAACCCGAGTGAAGGCACTTTTGCGAATCTACCATGTTGGCACTAGTGACAAACGTTTTTACTGAAGTAAATTTCTGTTTGTACTTACAACTTGATCGGACAAATTATCACTGTCACTTAATCCTTCGTCTCAAAATTAGTCGAATACCGGTTGCTCTGGTGAGTGTCCAATGCGTTGTAATTGTGAGTTGTTTCAAACGCAGCCTCGCGCTATTGCAAACGCCGATTAGGGTTGTTCTACGGTCGACCAGTGTCGAATCGATTTTCAAATCGATTTTCGAAAGTGTAAACTGTTTCAAACGAAGCCTCGCGCTATTACGAACGCCGATTAAGGTCGTTGAACGGTTGAGCAGTGTCAAATAGATTCTCTAAAATTTGTGCTCATTTTTTCAAGGCTGTCGTGAGTTGATTGGCCGCAACGCGTCGCGCCTCCTGCCGGGTTTGTGCAATGACCTGCGCGATTGGCAGGAGGAGACGCGCAGGAAGGCCGCCGGCCTCCTGCCCATCCTCCTCCTCCACCTCGAGGCCGGTGTCACCCAGCACACCCAACTCCTCGTCAGCGGCCTCGCTACGGGCATCGGCGACGCCATCTTGCGCGCCACCTCGGCCACTTCGGGGGCGAGTTCGCTCCACTTGATTCTCATGGCGCCCAAACGCCAACTCCCCTGCCTCAGTGGCCTCTTTGTCGACGCTGCGCCCGGCAGTAAAGGCGCCAAAGCCGTTGCTCCCAGTCTCGAAGCAGCCGAGGCGCTACGCGTGATGCACTTCCTCTTCACCGCGGCACGCTACACCAGCTGCTTTGTCTCACCCAAGGTACCAACCGTCTACTGACTACATTTAAGTAGGCTGGTCGTGCGTGTGTGGGTGTGTGGTGCACACCTCAACATCCACCTCCTTGTAGGTGTGGTGGAAACTGCTGCACGAAAACGCCCGCCGGTGCTTTGAGGCGACGTCGCCAACCAGCCTGGCCGGCAACTACTTCCTCCTGGCGAACTTGATCGCCGGCAGTTCGCTGGAGAGTCTCGTCACCAGCGAGGGCAGCACCGACGCCGCCAGTGGTGACGCGTTGGTGTGCCCTCTGCTTCGCGTAACCGCCTTCTTGACTGCTGAGGAGCAGATCAGCTGTTCGGCTTTCGCGTCAAAGGCGGGTTTGCTGGAGTGCGCCAACGCCGTGACCTGTGTTCTGGCTGACCTTGTCGAGAGGCATCAACAAGCACAGGCTGCGTCTGGCGACGGAACCGTGCCCGAAGCAACGCCTTCAGCGGGGTGGAGCAAAGTCGCCATGAAAGTAAATCTCTCCATAAAAAATACTCGCTACTTGTATGTAGCTAGTAGTCAGTGTGTTATGCTTGTGTGGGTGTTTGCACGTTACATCATTTACGAAATTAAAAACCACGCTTGGTGTTGGCTTGTAGCTTATCGAGGACACCTTCTGCCTCCTGTTAGCAATGAGTGCTTCGTGGGAGCAGGGCGCTGAGCGCACAGACTTTGCCGTCGAGTTCAACGACGCGGTTGGCCGCCTGCTGTGTCACCTCGCTCGCCACCGAAGTGCCCTTTCTGCCAGCGCCGGCGAAGTCGCCCGCTGTCCAACGTGTGAACAGCCTCAGGACGAGCCGATGGACCTGGAGGCCAAGGAGGCCCTCGTAATTGCTGCGGCCAAACGCTCCGGCCTCGTTCTTGAACGTCTCTACGGCAGTCAGCTGCCTCAAGTGCGTGCTCCTCTCACTCGCCCATCACCAGGGCTTTGCATCGTTCTCATTTTGTCCTCTGTGTCTTGGTCGTCTTGGCAGCTCCTACGGCGTCTGGACGAGGCTCGTCGCAACGGCGACGGCTGGCACGCCAAGTCAGTCGGTTTGTCCATCTTCTGCCACGCCGTGCTCTCCGCGGGTCCCGGCATCCTGACCGACCTCGAGCCCGCCTGTCGGTGCTGCTGCAAGTCCCCGCCACCGGTGCCCGTCGCGTCGGAGGACAGCTGCCTCCTCCTCACCCTCCGGCTTCTCGAAAATGGCTGCAAGCTAAACCAACCCCTGGACGTCAAGGGCAGGGGCGACGACGACGGCAAGAGCCCCAACCCGATGTGCATCTCTGCGGAGGCCGAACTGCACCTTCGCGGTCTGCTGCTTCTCATCCGCCTCACCGAACACGCCCGAGTTAGGGTAATTTTGACCGCTTGATTGTGCCCTCCCAAGCACAGTTTGTCCTACTCATTCTCCATCTCTCTCTCTCCCCCTTTGCCAGCTCATTCTCACCCAGCCCAAGCTCTTCCGCTACTGCCTCACCAAGCTGATCCTGCCGTCGTGTGTGTGGCGAGCCGGGCGCACGGCGGAGGCGATGCGCAAGGCCGCGGCGACCAGTCTGGTGGCGCTGCTCGCCGCCGTCGTGCCTCTTCGCCCGCCGAGTAAACGCGAGGGCGACACGCCAACGCACGAGGCCATCAACCGCACTGAGGGCGCTCTCGACGACTGGGTGAACCAGCGCGTCGCGCCCACTAAGGGCAAGCTCACGGAGTTGCTTGGCAAGAATGGTGGGGTTTTTGTTTTCGCGACGGTTGTGACCCCCGTGCCTGTAGCTCCCCTGACTAGATCGGGTTTTTGTGATTTTGCTAGGTCTAATGAGCCGTCGCGTGCGTCTCATTGAGCCGCCACCGCCAGCGACCAAAGGCGTCGCCGACACCCGCCAACTCGCCAACCTCGGTTTGGTGAGCGCGGCGTCGCCCCGGCTTCTCAGCCTCCTTCTTGCCCGCCTCGGTGGCTTGCTGACGGACGACGTGGAGGCGACGCGTCTGCTCGCCTGCACCGGTCTAGCGCTTCTCTTCGGTGGCATCTACTCTGGCGGGAGCGAGGAGGCGGTGGGGAGTGTGGGCGAGCCGACGCCTGACCAGCGCTACGTGCCCGGTGCTTTCCTGCGCTCGCCCGCTTGGTTTCTTCCTCTGCTCGACACCGATGGGGTGGAGGAGGTGGATATTGAGGGCTACGGCGACAAGATGCCCGGCCTAACCACCCCCCTTCCCGGTTCGCTCGGAGACAAGGTGTACAAGTTCTATCCGTGTCTACTCAAAGCTCTCGATGATGCCTCTGATGAGGTGAGTTGTGAAGGGCGTCGGGGCAAGTTAGAGCTTGCAGTTGGCAATTAGGCGTACACGTTCACTTGCCTGTTTAAGGTTCGACTTCGGGCTGCCGACGTCTTTGTCACGTGGTTCTGGGTGATGGCACCGAATCTCACGGAGCGTCCACCTCCAGTTGCTAAAACCACCGCCGCCGCCACCGCCGCAGCAGCACCGCCTCCTACTGAGGACTCGAAATCGCGTTGCATCAACCCGGTCTTCTCGTCTGTGTTTGAGGATTTGTGCTCTAGCATTGTGGTGCATTTGGACGACTCAGACGGCCTGATTCGCGCCGCGGTGGCTCGAATCGTCCTCCGCATGGCTCAACTCTCTCCCGCGACCGTGCAAAAAGTTCTAAGTAGTGCTCGGGAGCGCCATCGATCGCCCGAACTCTGCGAGGCTCTTCTTGAAACGTTGAATTGGACCTGCATTTAACGCTTTTTTGTCTTTGACACGCGTACACACACCCCACCTTCATTGTTTGCACTGTCTTTCAAAGCACCCTGATATGGGTAATGTTTAATATACAATTCTGTGTTTTGTTTTATTAATCCGAACCCACTTATGAAAGCCTAGGGGCAGGATTTAAAGCTCATGAATCGTGCCACAGGACAACGCGCGTTTTTCAGAAAAATGTGCGATCTATTTATAGTTGAGTCCCTAATTACGAAATGTGGTTGGTGGTTGACGCACACGTGAGAGCGCTGCTGTTAAAGCAATGAATTCACGCTTAACACACCCAAGCTGGTCATGACTTGGTTGAAGATTAATTATGTGGGGGATCCACAATACCCCAAGATTGCTCATCGTTGGTTTTGGCCCAATTTATACTAATTAATTAACCTGTGTTTTATCATGCCTTTTATCAGGTCAAGGCCAACCTTGACCTGAAAAAGTGTACACTTTTCGACAACTGACTCCGCACGTGACTGACGTGATTAAAACTTCCTACACGAGATCAGGCCTTGTTCTTGTATTAGCGTGGAAAGGTCGGTGCCAGCATCAACAAGGGATCTGATAGCGTTATTTGAGTGGCTTTCTCTTTGTTAGGGGCAAACGTAACAAATTTTCGGGTATTAAAGAATTAGGAGTGTTGAATATTTTTCATTCCATTGAGTTATAGGACAAATCATGAAAATATATCGGTCCACGTCCAGAAGTCTAAAAATGCAAAGGTGCGAATCTTTAAGTGCTTTACTATTCAGGGTTAAAATTTTTTTTGGAATTTTTTTCAAATTTTTGGTTACGCGCATTTGGTCAAACACCTTTACAAAATATCAGTAGTTGATTTGCTAATAATTTTTTAAAAAATAATAAATTCGAAGATAACAATTCAAGTACGAAGCTATTCAGTTGCGAAAATTCAGGTAAACTTCATGATAACTTGATTATTAGGCATGCATGAATATTGTTGAAAAATACTCCGGTAAAAATTTTCGATATCAAATGTTTTAATGAAGAAACATCAGAGTCTCGGAATCAGAACCCTGCAAAAAGCAATGGCATCATTCCTGCATATTTTTCATACAAAACCTAACCGGTTTTAAATTCCGACCACATGATGCAGGACCACTATCTCTTTTACAAAATTTGGATGTCCAACTAGGATTTAGCCAGGTTGAAAATATGCTTGCAAATAATTAAGTCTTTTGAGGTCTTATTGAGGGAGAAAAAATGAAAAACAATTTTGTTTATGAAAACTTTGTATGACGTAAATGAAATGATGTAGTGATTATGTTCATTACTTATTGACAAGCAGTGCTTGCAAATTCAACATATTGTAAATAATAGTGTCCTAGCAAAACATGAACAAAAAACAATTAGGCATCACTATTACAAGCATAAATCCTCTTTATTCGAGGTCAAACTATTTTTGAATTTTATTAAGAATAAGTACATTGTAAATTCACTTGGGCCCCCAAATTAAGTTGATGGATGTCGCACATTAAAACGCAAGATATTTGGTGTTCTGACATGTTTCTTCCGGGTATAAGGGCAAATTATCAGGAGCATGCTTGATTTCAGTTAAAAAGTTGTGTGAATTTTATTGCGCTCAATGCTATGAGTTATACGGTATTGAAAAAGCTAGTTTTATACAAAAAAAGCAACTGCGATATTTATAAATAATAGAAATTGAATAAATTAGTGTACATAATCTTGCATTCAAAATTAATCTGGAATTTTCTAATTTTTGATGCCAATACCGCCCTTTTCAAAACCACCAATTACTTCAATGCAGTCAACAAATTCCGAGCACCCCGTTTGCGTTGGCGGTGGTCCTTTGTAGCATCCTCGGGCACTTCGTCGTAGTTTGCTGATCATGCCTATGGTACGGTGCTATAATAAAGGTTGCGGAAAGGAATTCAATTCTGAGGAAAATGAATCAAGTATGTGTTCGTACCCGCTTATATTTGCCAGACGCCTGTCAGTACCATCCAGGTGAACCGATTTTCCACGACGCCAAAAAGAAATGGTCCTGCTGCAAAAAGTATAGTACTGACTTCGGTGAATTTTTGAGCATAAAAGGCTGTACTGTTGGTCGGCACAACCCTGAGAAGCCGAAACCTGCTGTTGTAGAAAAACCAGTAGCTGAGGTGCTTCTATTATAATTTCTCAATTTTTGACGTAGGTCAAAATCGCGCCGCCTCCTCAACCGGCTCCTAAACCGGCCCCAAAAATTCCCCTTGAGAGGCCTTCAGCTGATGCTCCCTTGACAGTGCTAACTCCAGTTGTGTCGACAAGCCTTAAAAAATCTCTGGAATTGTTAAAGACTAAGTGTGCTCCTAGTTCCGATGCGTCTGGAGATAAAGGTATTTTAAATTGTTCCTTCTCTGTTGTCGTTTTAAGCCAGTTATTGCCGACGACGCCTACCCTGTATACTTGTTTTTAGGTTTCACAACGTGCTGTAATAGCGGATGCAAAGCAGTAAGTCACTGGGATTGAAATACATTTTAGGGAGTTTCTGTACCTACTTTATCTTTTGTTTTTTTCTAGACTTACTCTGGGCCAGACTCCAATAATGAAACGTGTATGTACCATCCAGGCGCGCCAGTCTTCCACGAGGGGTATGAAGTAGTCTTCGGTTTTTTTCTTATTATAATTCCTGTCTAACTCTTCTTTCTCGTGTTTTTTTCTCCAAGGTGCAAGTACTGGAGTTGCTGTCAACGAAAGACAACTGAATTTGAGTCGTTTTTGGCGCAAGAAGGCTGCACATCTGGCCGACATGCATGGACCAAAGAGGTATTGTTAATCTAGCTTGATTTCCACCGTTATCGAGTTTCGCTTTGAGTTACAAATAGATTGGGTTGTTTTCTCTAACGTAATGTCCTAATGCCTCCAAAATTTGCTGCAGTTCACGCGGTTGGTTTGATTTAAAATGGCTCCTTTTTACTATTATTTTTTGGATCGTCTTGTTGTGTAGGCAGCTGCTTCCAGTAATCTGGTGGCGTCGCCGGCGACATCGCAGTGCAATTTCGACTGGTTCCAAATGCCAGAAACTGTCACTCTTTCGGTTTACGCAAAGAACACTCTACCCGAGTCCACGGATATCCGCTGCAACGCCGTGTTTCTCACCATATCACTTCTCTACGATGGTGGAAGGTCCCGTTTCGAACGACCATTCAACCTCTACGGAGTAGGTTCCACGCTACTTTTTATCTTTCTTCTGATATCGAAGTGATAATACGGTAGGTCTGAGTCCACAATCGATTTTAACCATCCTAATAAGGCAGCTAGCTGTTTATGTTTAATTGGTACAATTACACGGTGTCTACTTTGCGTAACGCGGCCACTTTTGAAGTTGGTTTAGTTTTCATCGAATGATTTCCATGCTGCAGGATCCGATCACCAGGCAGTTTAATTGGGTTTTCCGATCATTGTAACTGGTATTCGAATGAATCGTGCAGTGCTTTTGACGGTAGTATCTCGAATAATTGGCCGGCCTACGATGGTGTTGTTGAGTTCGGGTTTCACTTGTTCTTAATTTTAGATTATTGATCCGGAGAAATCGCGTGTCAACCTGATGGGCACCAAGGTGGAGGTTGTGATGCGCAAGGCGGAGGCCTGTTCGTGGCCCACACTCGAGCTGAAGCCGCCGAAACCCGCTACGACGGAGGTAGAGGAGGACGAAGAGGTGGGTCCGAAGGCAACCGTCAACGCAAACTAACCCCCAGTTTGGCTGTTTGCTGTTATGGTAGTTTTAAAGTAATGTATGTTAATTACAGTCGATTTTACACACAAACTTCACTTGCTTTCTGCTTTTTATTCCCCTAATTTTATGACAACTTATGGACCCATTAACTTGAAACCAGTCGTAGTCATCCAGACACTCACATCAATTGGAGTAAGGTTTGAACGTGCAAGGACACCGATGAAAACTTTAATCTATACGAGAAATCAGATATTTTAAAGAGAGAATCACATAGAACGACAACTGGAGTTGCTTGTCAATATTATGCTGTTGGGGGGGGGGGGGGGGGGGGGGGGGGGGGGGGGGGGGGG